TCGATTTTTTTTTTTTGCACGATTACAAGACTTTCTCTATACTTCGTATATACGAGAAAGTAAAAAACAAAAAAAAACAAAAAAAACCCGACGATTTTTGCGTGTTGTGTTCTTTAACTTTAACCCTATTTCTTGTGTGAATAATTTCAACTTCAACTAATACTCAACCCTTGGGGGGGGGGGGGGGGTTGGTCAGCGAGATCTTTACCGCAGTTGTAATTATGTGCATATATATTAATTAATGATCAGTGCACGAATGCAGATGCATTTACACTTTGCAGTCAGCATGGAAATAAACCATTATTAAAGTTCTTTAAAAAGAATATAACCTATGTCTGCGAAAAAAAAACCCCACCAATTATGTCGACAGTTTATGGTGGTTATTGATTACATATTTACATGGTAACATGTTATAGTTATAGTAGTGAAGATCGACTGTTAAGATACTACGGGTGTGAACGCAAGTCTAGTATTGTTATCTATTTAGCCTATGTAGTTGTGTTTATAAGCAAGTGTATTTTGGTGTAACCTTACCATAATGCGATAAATTAATTGTAGAGCCAGCTATGGGGTCGTCCATAAATGACGTCACACTCATAGGGGGAAGGGGGTCTGTATTTTTGTGATGGGGTGACGTCACTTTTTTTGCTTGGGGCTGAAACTTAGACAGTACAGAGGTCGGTGTGTGAGCAAGCGTGACCACGCCGCCCTGAAGACCAGTCGCCCATTCCAGGCTACTCTAAGTTGTATTATTACTACTATGCCAATAATTCATGTATTAAAAGTTAAATGATCGTGAAACTGAGATAATTACTGAGCCAAATATCGGCAGTCAGTCAATAACAATAACATAACATTAATAAACGCAATATTAACTATTAAGGGACCTCTTGTCCAACGAGACAAACCCCAGACTAAACAGGTCATTCTGTAGCTGCGGCTATAACTATTTATGTGCGGTATGACTCGCTAGAGCATATTTGCCACATGAGCGATTTCCGATAACCGAAAGTGGTACTTTTTCTACTTTGAATCTTTAAAAAGCCTATAAATTGAGTACTATTTCAGATAGATAAATGAAATTTCACATATAAGTAAAAGATCTAATTCTCTAACTTTTATCAAATTTTGAGTAATTTCTGTTGACCGGAAGTAGTAATTTACGCTATTTCCGATTTCTCAAAAAACGCATGTAAATTTAAAAAGTACTAATAATATTGCGCTTTATTATGCACATTTTCTTTTGGCGATCGCTTGGTGCGCAATTTTTTTTCTCTACGAGATTCTATTCTATTTTTAAAAGTTTAAGTAATTTAAAATCATGTCTATATACCGAGTTATATAAGAATATTCGAGAAAGTTTAGGGGAGATCACTCCCGGTTTATTAATTTTATAAAAAAAAGCGAGAAGCCAATTTCAATGCAATTAATTTAAATGATGTGCTTATTTTTAAGTGTAAGCCCTGCTAGGGGAAGGTTTGAAAAAAAAAACTAGTCTGTTCTCTGAGTAGGCCTAAGTGTCTTTGTGTTGAGTTCAAAAGATGTAGTTTCTCCCCTTAAATTTATGTTATAGACATGTATTTATACATAGGGGTAATCCATAAATGACGTCACGCTTTTTTGACGCGTTTTACCTCCCCCGTCCCCTCAAAATTGCTGTTGAATTTTTCTTAAAACATCGATATTTTTCCAAAATCTTGTCAGAACTATGTCAACATAGAGTATTTTGATCAATTCCTATTACAATTTATTAAAACCGTTTTCTAAAACGCGAAATAACAGCTAAAACTCGTTTTCTAATCATTGAACGGAGTTGTGGCTTTAATAATATTAATGTATACTGAAGAAATAAACTATAAAACTCACAAACTTGTTTATTAAGTAGCTACATGTTTTTATTTTTTTTACTGAACTATCAACCTCTAAAACTTGCTAACAGCAATTTAGAAAAGCTGGGTTGTGCATTGAAGAAAACGGCCATTTCCTTTGATCGGGCGATTTTAGTGATTGTGTTTTGTCGAGCTCGGCCGTTTTTTTAACATGCGACGGAATAATAAACAATTAATAAGTGTTTTAAAAGAAAGAAGGACCACCTTGCTGAACATGGTAATACAATTTTTTATACGAATTCAGAATCACATACTAATTTTCGGGTTGCTTATTTTTATAACATTTAAAATATGGAGTCTTTTACTTTTACGCATTTTTGTGTGTTTAGTATCCCACTAGTGACTAGAGCAGGGGTCGGCAACCTTTTGAGACAGAAGAGACAAAAGTTACAATTTACAGAAGTTCCAAGCTTTTAAAGAGCCACTAACATTTTTATTTCAATATTATTATCTTTGGTTGGGACTAGTTATATATATATATATATATATATATATATATATATATATATATATATATATATATATATATATATATATATATATATATATATATTGAAAAAATATGGTCATTGAAAAATATGGTCATTAGCTACCACTTAGTTTGCCCATTGGGGCATATTGCTAGAGCCATACATGGATGATTCCATGCAGTCTTTCCATTTTGATGTCATCAATATGCATGCTTGACACAGATTAGTAGCCAAAAACTTAGTTCAATGTAAAGTAAAAGAGTTATCAGAGATTGATACATTAGTTATCTCTACATCAATATCCATTGATTTATCAAAATATGGTTCCATGTACTTGAAAGCTGGTCAAGGAGTTTGTCCTATTTTACCCAACTATGGTTGGACTGTCTGAGGTGGCTTGGTCTAACACCCACGGACCATAAAACTGACCTCATCTGAAGGCTTTTATCGCAAAAGACTGCATAGATACATATCAATATTGGCTTCCTGCTGTATCTTTATTATATCAAATCCTATTACACAACTTCCTAAATACTTTATTGACAGTATGGCCCTATTTTCCAAATTCAGCAGGAAAAATAAGTTCAGGTCTGTCTGATTCATCGCTTTCATATTGATACAGTAGCCAACGAACCCATGCAGTCATCAGTTGGTCTTTCCTTACAACTTCTCAATGTGTAGGCCCAAACCTAGCAATCCACTACAGTTTCATGTGTAACAACAAGGTTGAATCTAAAAACATGCTATCAACAATGTTGAAAAAAATGTTTCTAATTGGTGTCTTCAGTAAGGCAGGAGTGAGGAAGGGATGCAAACTTTTGAGCCCAAAAGTCTAGCCCCAAGGGAAGTTGTTTGAAACTTCTATAGATTTATACCACTTTTCCCTACACTAGGAGAATTTTTCTATATATAAATGTATACGGGTCAATTTGACCCATGTTAGTAGGGAGAGGAATAGTGAACCTAAACCTGCTCACCCTCATGCACACATGCAAAATTAAACATTCATTTTTATGTTGAAATCAAGTATTGCATGTGTAGGTAGCATATCTAGAAGCTCAAAACAATTGGTCCAGTGGTTGACCAGTAATTAACTAAAACGTAGCACTATCGGATCATTTTGACCCGCCTTGTAGGGATAGGGTTAAATGGTAAAAAAAGGCCCGCGAATTGAATGGAAGAGGGGTCAAAATCCGTTGCTCGACTGCCGTTGAAAAAATATCTCGGCGGTAGTTTTCAATTGATAAATAAGATATATTGTGTAATATCACCAACCATAAAAATTACGCAGCATTAGACCGCTTAAAATTTACTTTTTAATGGTACTATCTTGTTACTATACGAGCTCTTTTTGTAATAGAAACTATGAAGTGTAAGATACATATTTTACGGCCGTTTTACATACATTCCTAAATTGAGGAAACGGGTGAACTTAATACATTGTGAGAAGGGGATCGGAAGTGGGGGTGGGGGTAAAGTCAAGAGTTTCTTCCAGGCATCTCTTCGGGGGGGGGGGGGGACGACGACGACGAAGCCCCCCCCTCCCCCCGAACATTTTAAGTGCCCCCCTCCCCGGAGAAAAAAGTCTGGAAGAAACACTGGGTTAATTAAGTCCTACAGTACGCTCTTCGCATTTAAAACTGTAAACATATTTTAACTACTTTTTGGTGTTTAGCAGTTATTTCGATACTCAAAAGAAATTTTAAAAATTTGCATAAAATTGGTCTAGAGCTTTGGCTCCAGATTTGCTTAACTTTTCTATATTTATTTTAAGAAACAGATCATGTGACTAGCGGTGTTCTTAATTAAAAAAATCAATTTAACTATCAATCATTAGTAGTTTATTGTTAAAATCGTTTCAAGGATTTATTTATTGGATAAATTCCTTGACCAAGGAAACATTGACTATGAAATTTTAGGGGGAGAGGGGGATGTGATCGGCGCGGTCGGGTTGGTAAAGTTCATGGTTTCAAAGCCGAAAAGTCAAAAGTTCGAACCCCCGTGCAGATGAGGAGAGAAAGCTTCAAAATCAAACTGATGCCTTGTAATTTGTTCTTGCATCACAAAAGAAAAACAGACTGAAATTGGAGTCAACTGCCTATATTGAGCATAACAGGTTGCCAAACAATACTTAAATGTGTTGGAGAAAATCCTTTGGGGTCGTCCATAAATGACGTCACGCTCGTAGGAGGGAGGGGGGGGGGGGGGTCCGTACTTTTTGTGACGGTGAGTGGTAAGGGGTTTCAGATGGTGTCACGTCACACTTTTTCATTTTAAAAAGATATGTTCAAAAACGAATCTTAGCCGATATTTCGGGTTTTTTTAGAAAACTGTTTTAATAAATAGTAATAGGAATTGATTAAAATACTCTGTTGACAGACCAGATTTTGGAAAAATATCGTAAATTTTAAGAAAAATTCAACTGCGATTTTGAAGGGAGGGAGTCTTGCATTTTGTGACGATGTGTGGCGAAGGAGAGGGAGTAAAATGGTAAAAAAAAAAACGTGAAGTCATTTATGGATGACCAATTTCCAACATAAAAATCAGCAGCGAAGAAGAAAATAGAAAATAAATA